GTGACCATGAGGCAACAAGACTAAAGACAAAAGCTAAAACCCAGGATGGCCAAGCAGATGGGTTGCAAATGGCTGGATACTGGATGACATAGACAGATGACCGAGATAGATGCTGCCTTGACCCTGACACCATCCACTTTCAGGCTTTTCATCCTCTGAAATAATGAAATGCCTTTACTGTTTAAACCAGTGTTAGTGGAATATTCTGAAGTTTTCAGACGAAGGCATTCCTAACTGGTACACTTATGTTTTGCCCATCATATTTTGGTCCTGGAGTTTCTGCCCAAATCCCAGATGGCAGGACTGTCCCTTATTTCCGTGAGTGGCCAACGCCCTACCCTTCCCTTGGAAGCTAATGGAGAGCAGCCCAATGAGTCTGCTCGGATCCTCGCAGGATGAATGACATATAAAGAAACCTACAAAGCATTTGAATCCTGGGAGGACGTTCGACATTTACTCAACTTCAAGGGGTACAACATTTGCTTATACGTTGAAGCTTCGATTCTTCGAGGAATTATCAACTCGGAGTGGCACAGCATTTGGAGGATTTTTGACTTGGGTTCTGATACCAGAAGAATCACGATGACTAACAGTGACATGCTTAGTACAGCTTGCCACGTACTTTCGCAGGCACTTCGCTTACACTAACTCATTGCATCTTTACAACAGCCCCATTAAGGAGATAACTTATCTTTCCTCCATTCTTCAGATAGGCAAGTTGAGGCACAGGGCAACTGGGGTGACATAACTGGAACGTGACGCCTGGTACCTGACTCCAAAGTTCAAGGGGCAGAGAGAGAGGGAGACCCAGAATCCGCAGCAGGCTCCAGGCTCCGAGGGGTCAGCACACAGCCTGATGCGGGGCTCAAACTCACGAGCTCTGAGATCATGACCTGAGCCGAAGTCGGACGCTCATACGACTGAGCCATTCAGGCGCCCCGATCTATCATTTCTTTTAAAAGAAGTTCGGTGTGGTCAGCCACGGAGCCCTCCGACCTTGCCCTCTGCCATCCTCAGCCGCTGGCCTGGTGCCACGTCACTGGCATAAGATGGCAGCCAGGGTCAAGCGTCCCCTTCTCCCACAGCTGCGGGCAAGGCAGGAAGAGTGGGGCGCGGGCAGCACGGCCACTCCTCCCCGGCTGAGAAAATCTCCCGGGAGCACTCATGCTGCCTCCGCCCCCGGTGCGTCCTACTGGTCAGAACCAGGTCACATGCTCATCTCGGACCAATCACTGGCAGGCCAGAATGGGCGTGTCATGGTGGGCTAGACCAATCACATCCATGACCTGGGGCGGGGCACAGCGTGGTTGGCACAAACCGGGGTTCGGCCAGCCAAGAAGAAAGGGGTGGCTGTTGGGTAGGCGCCAACGATGACGAGACGGAAGCCGACGTTTCCGGAGCGCGTCCAGGGAGCCGGGCTTGGTCTTAAGCTCTTTGCATATATTGTCTCATTGAGTCTTCACGCTGTTATTTATGATGCACCATTAGAAGCCCAAAGAACCTCAAGGGCTTACCCCGAATCACCTAAGCAGGAGACGAGGAACCTGAACTCAAATGCAAGCCCCTTAGACAGCCACTGTCAAAGCATGTGGGTAGGGTTACCAGATAAAATACGGGGTGTTCAGTTAAAGTAGAATTTCAGATAAAGGAAGAAAATATTTAGTATAGATATGTTCCAAAGGTTGCATGGGGCATACGTATACTAAAAAAAGTTTATTGCTGATCTGAAGTTCAAATTTAACTGAGCATCCTATATATATTTTCTGAGAGGTGGGGGGAGGGGCAGAGGGAGTCCGGGAGAGAAAGAATCCCAAACAATCTCTGCACTGTCAGTATAGCCCCCCCACCCCCCAGGGATCTACCCCATGAACCGAAAGATCATGACCGGAGTCCAAATCGAGAGTCACATGCTTGGAGTACCCGGGTGGCTCGGTTGGTTAAACGTCTGACTCTCCATCTTGGCTCAGGTCGTGATCTCACAGTTCGTGAGTTCAAGCCCCACATCAGCTCTGTGCTGACAGTACAGAGCTTGCTTGGAATCATCTCTCTGCCCCCCCCCCCCCCCATCAAAATACATAAATAAATTAAGAAAAAAAAGAGTCAGATGCTTAACCAACTAAGCCACCCAGGTGCCTCGAGCATCCTGTATTTTTATTTGCTAAATTTGACAATCCTACTAGAGTAACCAAGAAAGAAATCTAAACAGTGGTGTGGGGGCTCAGCCACGTTTTGCTTGTATAATAAATACCAAGGAATATTCCTCAGTTCCACAAAGAAGTATGTTGTGTTCCCCCATTTTTCAAGACCCTGACCCTTCTTGGATTATTGTTTTCCTCTTCTTGAGAGAAATATGGGTACTGAGAAGACTTCCCAGCTCTCAGGAAAACAACTGTTTGCACTGTGATAAAGGCAACTGGCATTTAGCCCAAGGGCCAGGGAGGCAGTAGGGAGAGGTGGGGAGTGTGGAGAACTGGGGCATCCCTTTCAAACATTCCCACACCCTGTTGATTTTTGCCAGACAGAACACGGGCCCAGCCCAGTCAGATCTCCCAGTGTTTTAAGGGAGGTTGAAATCTGGGTTTTCATGTAAAAATCCCTTGATTTGTGAACATTGGCTCTGATTTTATTAAAATGCCACACGGGCCAAAGGAAACATATCTGTAGGCTTGTGGACAGCCAGGAAAAGTCTCTGCTGTGTAGCTTTGAAAGAGAAGCCTGCAACCCTGTGAGGAGGGGAGCAGAGGAGAGGCAACTTTGGCAAGTGGGGAGTGCTGGGGGCCAGGAACTGCAGCCAGACCTAGGTTCGAATCTCTCCCCTTCCAGATGACTGCTGTGTGATGACAAGTGGATTGCAGAGGCTCTCCGTTTTCTAAACCATTTTTAAATGTTGACTTTATTTTTGAGAGAGAGAGAGAGAGGCAGAGAGAGAGGGAGACAGAGGATCCAAAGCAGGTTCCATGCTGACAATAGCGAGCCTGATGTGAGGCCCGAACTCACAGACCGTGAGATCATGACCTGAGCTGAAGTTGGACCCTCAACCGACTGAGCCACCCAGGTGCCCCTCTGTTTTCTAAACCATTTAGAAGATGTAATCATACCCATCCATCTCACTGTGTAGCTGTGAGGTTTCCACAGAACAAGCTACAGAGGTAAAGTCACTGCCTGGGACCAAGGGACTGGAGGCCAGTCCCTTTCCTTTCCCTGGGAAGGGCTCACACTAAGTTCCATTTAACCGTTACTTTTTATCATATGATTTCACAAACAGATGAAACAAAACAGATGAACCTAGGGGAAGGGAAGGAAAAATAGGATAAAAACAGAGAGGGAGGCAAACCATCAGAGACTCTTCAATACAGAGAACAAACTGAGGGTTGCTGGAGGGGAGGTGGGGGAGGGGCGGACTAGATGGGGGATGGGCATTCGGGAGGACACTTGGGATGAGCACTGGGTGTTCTATGTAAGTGATGAATCACTAAATTCTACTCCTGAAACCATTATTACACTATATGTTAA